TATGGATCAAAAATTATGAAGTTTGACTGTAAATTGGCCACAATTGACTTTTTCCCCAATACAGCTGATTTTAGGTCAACTGATCAATTGATTGAGCAAAAATGTGATCCAAGACTTGAAACTTGACATGAGCAATATTGAGGGTCCAAAATGATCCATGCAAGTCATATGGGGCATTAAAAATCCATTTATCCTTGTGCAAACTCAAACCCTAATTTCAGTCATCAATGTTTAAGGAGGTGTCTTGAGCTGATCAAACCTTGTGCAGTCTTAAACCTAAGGAGATCTTGTGAGAAAAAAATTGATAAATGAGAGGGAAAATTTTGGGGTACAACAGGAAATGCTCAAAAGCTAGGTGCAAGAAGACCATTTATACCACTGGGACCAACAACTAGATTAATTGCAATCAAGAATATAATTGGTGCAATAACTAGGAGGTCTGGTTTATGGTAATATTATTTTGGCCTGGTTTATGAATTGATGCAAACTAGTTTATGAACTACTACAAACTGATTATGGTAATTTAGTTTTGCAAATCAGTTGCAGGTTTTGAACAATACACATAAACTAATACATTGTGTTATGGAGTGGTACAACATAATCTTCCAAAAACAAATCATATTATGCCAAATTGATAAAACCAACTAATTGATACAAACTGATACAACATAATGTTTCATTACAAATTGATACAAACAACTCATTGATACAAATTGATGCTCCTAAAACATCCTAAAGAGCAATACATATAACATTACAAGAAACAAAATATGCCATTTTTTTTCCACTTCAAAATCTTGACCAATTCAGTTTGAATTTTCATCACTAGTTTCCCTAATTCTTTAGATGTAACCTTGAATTTTTCAATTTCCTTCGCATATGTTTCAAAATGGATTCTTGGCAAATGGACATAAATCAAATTGAAATTAGGCTTATCTTAAAATTTGGACAACCCCAAATACTCTTTCCAAAATTCTTATCTGTTGTTGCCATACGAATCACAGTTTTGTCTCCACAATGACATAATGGTACCCATCACGAGCTTATGTATACACTGGATTCACAATATTTCGATTTCTTCAGCATCTAATATGAAGAAGCTTGGTCGGACTTTATGTTTATAAGAAAACTAATGATTGAAGACCAAAGATGACAAAGTGTATATGTTGTTGCCCTAATTTTGATACAGGGAGCAAAAAGGAAGATGAAACGAAGGATTAGCAAGATGAAACGAAAAGTGAAACACGAAGCTGCATCTTTGAACTTAAGGAAGATGACGCAGACGTGACAACTCAGCTGACACGTAGATTAAGTAAACAAATGAAATGTTTCAGTCAAAGCATGTGGTGAAAATGAAAATTTTAGCTGATTGACTTTTCACCACGGTTGTAACTTCCAACCGTGGTGAAATGTGGGCTGGCTGACATTTCACTGCAGTTGAAATTTCAACCTTGGTGAAAAATGGATTGACTATATTTCACCATGATTGTAAATTCTAATTGTGGTGAAATGTCGCACGCTATCCAATTATTCACCATGGACCTTAGTTCGTAGTAGAAAGTAGCGTATTTACTATCACATTCTTCGTTATCACGGACTACCATCTGCGGTAGAATCATTCTTCCAACCGCGATGATAGATACTTTTATATTAGTGAGAACGAAAGTTTTCAAAATAGTGTTGGGAATCATGAAGTTAATGTTATAGATAACATATAGATTTTATATTTAGTTTAATTTACCTTCATAAATCGGACTGTAAGGTAAGTTAAGATATTTTTAATTTATAAACGAAATGGTAATAACCACTAAAAACTCATATACACAACTATAAGCGTCTAAGTTCGAATTTTGATGATAACGTCCAATATAACTATATTGATTTTTGTTCGTGAAGTTAGTATTTGCAAACATGCACTACAAAAAATACTCTCATTTGCGACGTGAAATTCACGTCACAATGTGAAAAATCACGTCACAACTCCTAATTTGTGACGTGAGTGATCACGTGGCTGAGGAACGGGTGGCAATTTATTTGCGACGTGATTTTCGTGTCAGAAAGTTGTGATGTGAAAATCACGTCGCAACATATTTTTATAGACATTCTGACTTTGCAGTGACAGCAGACGCAACAGAAGGAGTGCAGAAAAAGCAATTTATTTGCCACGTGATTTTCACGTCACAAATTAGTGACGTGAAAATCACGTCGCAAATTAGTAACCATTCACACTTTCTCTTTGTTCAGCTTTTGTTTTTTTATAAAAAAAATAAGTTGCGACGTGATTTTCACGTCACTAATCTTTTCATTTTTATTTTTTTAAATTATATACTCAAATTTGATACTCAATATATATATATATTATTTTTTAAAAAATATTATGTCTTATAATATATAAAAATATAAAATTTCATTTTATTATTATTATTAATATTTTTTATATTCTGTTTTATAATATAAATACCATATATTTAATAAATATAAAATAAATTTGTATAATATATACATAATTTCGTTTTAAATAAAATTCTAAAATATATTTCTGTTTTATTTTTCATTTATAAAAATTATAATATTAATTTATTAACAACTTTTACAAAATAAATATCAAATTTAATCTAAATAATTAATCAATAATCCTAAAAAAATATCAAATTTAAAAAAAATTTACAAAAATATCTCTCTTGAATCTCCTTCAATCTTCTTGTTCTATCTTTTTCAAACTCACTTCAATGTTCTTCAGTCTTCTTCTTATCAATTTCTTGGAAAAAAAACATAAATCAAAATCATATTACAGAATAAACATTAAACAAAAATATAAAAAAAAATTGAAACAAAATTAGAGAGGATGATTGACTACCTTTAAAAATTAGGAGTGGAATAGAAATTAAAATTGGAGAAGATAAAGGTAGAAGGAAGAAGATGAAACAAAAAAGGAAGAGAATGAATGAAGAAATATAAGTGGAGAAGATTTGTGAAATGGAAAAAAAAATATAAACAGTCAGCGACGTGATAATCACGTCGCAAACTTGCCACGTGATTATCACGTTGCAACGTCCCGCGCAGTCAATATCAAGACCGACAATTTTTCTCCCCTAAAAAGTTGCGGCGTGAATATCACGTCACAACTTGAAATTTGAAAATTTCAAACTTCCCACCATGTATTTTAATTAATTGGTTGCGACGTGGAATTCACGTCGTAACTTTTTTTATAAAAAATACTTTATGACTCCTCTTTTGTTAACGTTACTTTTCATAATTTATTATTAAAATTATGTAACGTCGTGATTATCACGTCACAACCTGCCACGTGATAATCACGTCACAACTTCACTTCGTTGGGGAACATTTATCTTGTAGTGATGACATTATTTATAATCTCTAATAAGATTTTATATTAAATTTATATGATATTTAGATACATTTTATTGGGTTGAATCTTCCACTCAAGTCTATTGTGATTTAGACTAAATTTCAAAGTTCTTCGGTTAGTAATCTCAATTTTGTCACCCAAAAAAAATATATTTTAAAAAACAAAACCCGAAATCAAGGGACATAATAAGGGTAAAAAAAACCAAAAGAAAAAAAAATTCAAGGTTGAAATATGAAAAGCTACAAAAGCCAAGTATTGAGTAGCTTCACTAGTCCTTATCACGTTACAAAGAACAAGAGTAAGTAGAAAACCATACCAAAGTAAAAGAAACAAGCCAATAATGAAAATAAAATAGTACTCACTCACGCATGCTTTGTAAGTCTAAGGGAAAGTTCCATGGGAAAAAGATATGTAGCGAATTAGGAAAACAGAAAATGATGCTTCAAATCATTTTTGGGAAACTACCCTTTATTCTCCACTTTCTATATAGGTTGGAAACTCATCTTAACCATGCTTCAAATCATTGTTGAGATTAATAAAATAAATTTAAAATTTTAATTTTTTATTAAATTATAAGAAATTTTATGTTTCATTCAAAGTATTTCGTTTGTCTCAAAATAATAATTTTTTAAGATTATTACACGAAAATTAAGAAAATTAATGATTAATCAATAAAAGTAATATTTTTATAAAATTATCCTTTATTATTATTGGTTGTAATACATTGTTATAATATATATATATATATATATATATATATATATATATATATATATATATATATATATATATATATATATATATATATATATATATATATATATATATATATATATATATATATATATATATATATATATATATATATATATATATATATATATATATATATATAAAAGAGATAAAATTGATAAAAATTAATTATAATTACATTGAAAAAATAAAAAAAAACTATTATTTAAAAATAATTTTTTGAGATCAGAAAAACAATTATTTTAAAACAGTAATTCGAGTTTTCGATAATATGGTTAAATAAACATTGTTCCATCATAAGATATATTATAATCATTAAATTTTGTGTGGCCTAACACATTTCTGCAGGCTTATCTTTTCAACTCTTATGGACTTTTGATAATCAGCATGGGCATTTCAACAAAGAATTAAAAAAAAAACATGTTCTAAGAGATAGTTGAAATCAAGTGACATTTTTTTTATTTTTTCTTTAGGTACATTACTTTTTGTTCCTATTTTAGCATCCAATCCACCTTAGAAAAAGCAGCATAACCCGCATAATAAGGTGACAAGAAAAATTAAAACTTTTATTTAATAATATTTATGAGGAATTAAATACCTTCCTCAATATAATCAGACCAAAAAACTTATTAATCTCTAATCACATTGCACAATCAGCAATCCAATTAATACGGTCCACTTATTATTTTTTGATTATATTGACTAATTAATGTAAGGTTAGGTAGGTTGGTATTTTCAGTGTTTACTAGGGCCCCATAACAATAATTTAGTGTAACACAGTAGTCTTTTTGTTCACATATATGAAACTTCCATTAACTTCTGTACCAGAAATGTTCATATAACAATTGTTTGTGTTTTCACTTCCTTAAGTTTCTCCATGGAACTTGACATTGGAGTCACTCATTCAGATTTTACTCTTGGTATTTTTCCTACCCTAATTATTATCATTTTTTTTTTCATTTTCTATTTCTTGATTCACTTGGTTTCTAGAATATATGAATATGCATGTATGTTTATTTTGTTTATTTGGTATTTTTCTACAGATGAGTACTGGTTTGCATCAGATACATCTAGTGGATATCTTGAAGATGCAATAACTGGTTGGGATATTTGGTGTAAGCAACATAATTTACCATCCAAAGAGGACCAATTATTTGAAGGTATATAGTTTTTTTTGTGTAACACCAACCTCCGAAACATTTTTTTTAATTATAACTAGTGTCGTGTCTGGATCAGAGTCGTGTAGATGCAGACACATTTGATCGATTTATATAGATGAAAATGTTGTTCATAATTTACTATTATAATTTATGTTTTTATTTTTTATTTTATTTTTATTAATTATTATTCAAACACATTTGTTATGAAAATAATTAATTATATTAAATTCTATAATAAATTAACTTGTACTGCAGTGTAACAAGAAATAATTGAAATATGACCATTACACTGACATGCAAATTATTGCTTTACAGACCATAAAAAATCATCTTCATCATCATCACAAAATCATGCAGTCAAACATGATTCACCTCAAAGGAGTTATTGTGCTTCTAAAGAATCAGATGAAAATGATGCTTCAATTTCAAGTACAATTTTGTTTTACTCTTTTAACACAAGAATATTTAGTTGATTCATCATTTCATGTCTCTTTTTTTTCTTCCTCTTTTAATTAAGTCATTGTTATGTCCTTTTGATGTAACTAGGAGGGCAGTGGAAGAAAATAGCATATCCATTTGAGTTAGTGAAGCCCGGAGGAGTTGAAGGTGAGACAACAATTAAAGATATAAATCATCAAATGATGATGAATCCATCAAAGCCAATTCCACACCCTGTGGCTGTACAAGATTATGTCACAAATTCATGCATTAATTCAAACCGTAGTTATGGTATTTCAGGAAAAGAAGTTGCAGCACTTACTAGGATTCAAACTAGGGGTAGAGGCTCCATTACCATTATTAGAACTAAAGGTTGAATTGAACTTTGTGAATTTGACAAAATCATAATAATAACACCATAATTTAACTGAAAAGCTAAATTATGGCGAGATTTATATGATTATGTCAAATTTAGAGTTAGTTTAAACGAAATTGAATTTTCGGAGTCAAGATTTCACGCATTTGAGGTATTGGTGACATTTGATCGTGGTCAAACGGTTTAAAAAAATATATATTTTACTTTTTATTTTGTAGCAAATTTAAATATTAATCGTTTGATTTTGATCGATTAATCCACATAATACAGAATGCGTGAATGCATAAAATTCTACATGATCGTCCAATTCAAACATATCATATGTTTGATTTTTTTTAAATATGGTAAGTTTTGATAGTTTATACCAAAGAGGCATAAATGCAAAGAGGGGAAAAAGTCAAATGTGTTTGTTGTATTTTAAAAGTTAGTTTGAAATTTCCCACTAGTTATTGAAAATATTGATTTTTGGAATTTTTTTTTTTTGGTTCTTGGTCTTTGGAGTGTATAGCAAGATTGAAATGGGCATTTCATATCAATCAGCTACAGGTGATGTCAAAGATGCAAATTCAAAGAGTTGTTGAGTAGTCTAATCAGTTATTACTTTCTAGAATAAAAACATTAAGCAAGATTTTAAAAGATTTTATGAAGCAATTGACAAACATTTTCATATGGAATTAATAAATTTGATATTTGCATAATATAATTGGATTAATTTAAAATATCCATTTTTATTAATATTAATTAGGGGTCTATAAGTCTTTGCTTTTGAAGTTAAGAAAAGTTGTGTGAAGAATTGTGTGATAGTGAGATAAGTAGTTTTATAAAGATTTCATTTATTTGAAAATAGTGCAAGTAATACATGCAAATAATTTTGATATTGAAATAAGATAAATAAAAAAGACTTTAACATATCTTTATAAAATTAAATTGTAAGACCAGAAATGTCCTTTTATATAAACTCTTGTCAAACTTTATATTTAACTATTGTTTGAAAATATGGGATATCACATGCAAGTATACATTTATATTTTAAGTAATAAGTGATATAATAGTAAAGATGTCAAACTCATAGAGAGTGAAAAGTAACATAGATTAATTTTGCAAGGAATTATATTTTGTAAATAAGCATGAGCATGATAAAAATAGTTTATGGTTATCATTGGTTCAGTTTAGTAGCAAACAGGGTTAAGAAAGTAAATGAGTCCAATAATAGAGAACATGTTGGACAATGGTTCATTGATAAAACTTGTCATATACATGATGTATTGTCGTGCCATAAGAGACCAGAAAGTGATCTAAAGGTATATCTTTATAAAATCATAAACATACACATTAAAGTAAAGGGGCAAATCTCTAAGTCTCGCTTGTAACCATAATGCATGTCTAATTTAGTTTGAGTTTCCCCTATAATTGTAGCTATTTATCTCTAAAGTAGCTAATCTAGTGAATATCTCAATCCTACTATTTTCAATCATTTTTACAATGAGATCCACTTGTTGTTGGATCTCTCACAACAAAAAGCTTGTATCTTTTTCAAAGTTAATCACTCAAAGAAGCATATTTATGATAGTGTAACACATGATAAAATAAAGCATTAACAACACATCATTCAACATATAAAAGATTACATTATATCAACTTCTCATTTCTTAACATAAAAGAATTTAGCGCATAATGAGCTGAGTACATACATCAATATTGGTTCTTAAGCTAATTATTTTCAAATACATAGTGAAAAAGAAGTAACAACCTAAGAGCAACTTCTTCATCTTCTTGCAATGATTAATCACCAAGGGATGCCTTTTGTCACGACAGATATCAGCAGTAGGCATTTACATAATGAGAAGAAGAATTACTATTTTCTCTCAACTCATTTTCTTCATTGGTTTCATCTAAGTGTTTTTCTCTAACAATGTTGAACTCCTCTTCAATTCTTCAAGAGATGCCTTTATAGTTGCTTTAACTAGGGTTTTTCACATTGTCTTGGATCATGGACTTGAGAATAAATGTCAAATCAGGACCAAAAGAAAATCAACATTATTCCCTTCATTTCTTCCAATTCTAACAAAAATGGAATCAGGTACAAATAATAGTGGGGGACAAAGTGTAGTGTGATAGTCTATTGTCATAAATAAGAAGGCAACGTTGTCCTTGTGGAAGCGTGATGCGTTAGTGGTCGTACTATGTACTGACTTTTGTCTTCTAGCGCCTCGTTCTTATCCTTTCAAATTAACTCTCCTTACAAATGCATATCGTTACCACATGTGCCCTAGGAATGCAATTGATGTTTCTCCTTTTTTTTCCAGCTGCTTCCAACTTTCTACTTTCCTTTGGGTACAAATTATTGTCCCAGATTGACCTTCTAGACCTCATCAGAAGCTAACCTTTCATAAGAAACAAACACATAAAAACTACAAAAGAGAAACCTATTATTCTCTTTACAAACTACTCTTAAAACAAAAAAAATACAATAAATTTAACTACTGAATGGTAAAATAACTAGAAAGATTCAAATATTAAGTCTTGTAATCACTCACAAAATCTAAGTTATCGCTAACCAATGTGGAACTTGGAATCTTTTCAATACACCTCCTCACACTCAACACTCTTTTGGATTTGGTGAATAGATAAACGATGGGTGGTCCAAGGTCCGATCGATAGGCTCTTATACCATATTTGAGTTTGACCTAACTCATCCTTACAAAATCGGCTTGTAAGGTGAGGGGTGTCACTCTATATAAACTCTTTAGAGTCTCTATATCTTTTCAATGTGGGATTTATAATCTTTCTAATACACCCCATGCACCCACACTCTTTTGGGCTTGGTGCGTGGATATTAACGGTGGACGACCCATGGTTCGATCGATAGGCTCTGATCTAATATTAGAGTTTGACATAACTCATCCTTACAAAGTTGACTTGTAAAGTAGGAGTGTCATTTTATATAAACTCTTTCAATGCTTTATGTTCAACCAATGTAAAACTTGGATTTTTTCCAATACTTACACTACTCCATATGTTATTCTTGAAAATTCATGACCAATGAAATTTTTGTGACATTTGTAGATAACATAATTTATAAGAGGTACGTGTTAGAAATTTTTTCACCCATATTTGATCGTACATTTACTCAAAAAGTTAAATGAATCCGTCAAAAAATTCGTTAGGTTACATAGAGAACTGCAAATTGGTTCGTACAAACCAGTTTGTGGTACTTTTGTGAACCGGTTCTTCTGAATTCCTCTAAAATCCGCTAAAACTTGAGAACCAATGTACCACTGAACAAGATAAAAAATTTTAAACTAATTCATTTTGGAGTTAAGTTGTTGCAGTTGGCAATGCCCAAATAACTCACAAACCATCTCAAAAAGTAAAAAATATTAAACTACCATCATTTAGTCACTTGGAGCAAATGCATAAATTTATACAAATGCAAGTAGACTTCAGTGATTCATAGATGAAAGCTTTGTCCTTTATTTATAGCTATGTTGATTCTTAAAGTTAAAGTGGGACTCAGTGGTATGTTTTTATATATGTTTGACTATCATATTATCTCTAGCTATTCTAACACTCAACTATTCTTTTGATCTTAAATAATTAAACTATTTTAATTACAGCATACCAATTATTATATTTGAACATACCATGTATTCAAATAACGCACTGACGATGTATATTCATCGCATACCTAATTTTTTTAGAGTTGTATACCGCATACCTGAATTTATACCACGTATCGGAACAAATTGTGAATTGTGTGATTATGAAACGAACATGAAACTATGACAAAAAGAGAAATAGTTAAAATTAAACTTATAAATTATATAATAATTAATTAATCAAGAAAATAACTATTAAGTTTTTCTTTGAACCCGCATCCCTTTCTTTAAGTAGGAGATATTGCTTCTACAAAAGATAAGTGTAATATATTTTTGTTCAACGAGTTTGTTTTTGAAAAATTCACTTATTTCAGTGATGTATTTTTTTTTGTTGAAGTGACTTCTTTTAAATATATGTTTCAACAAAATGTTTTAACTTCATGTACAAGTGTAATTTAAGGGATGATCTCTGGTCTTCACAAGATTTTCCTTGTTTTCTAAGCTTAAATCTTTTGAATGTGAGGACTTGCACTACCAATAATAACTAGGACCAGGGCCATTTTCATTGGTTCCCCGGAGGTTTCTTGTCTAAAATCTTATTCACCAAAGACTATATTTCTAGATGTAATTTTCTAGAGGATTGAAATTCTACATTCTCTAGTGTGTGAATTCCAATAAATTTTTCAACTAGCTTTGATATATTATTGCAAACTCTTTATTATTAAACTTTACATGAATTAATTCAACAATCAAGATTCTTTGTTATATAGTATTGTATAAGCTTTTCAACATTTGAATATACTAACAAGCTACAATTTTATGTTTTTGAATTAAATTTATTAATGTGTTCTTTAGTGTTCAACATATAATAAATACATCAAAATTAATGACAATTTGAAATGTTAGATTTTATATCTTTCCATAATTGATAAGTCTTGTTCAATGTAGGTCTTACATAGATCTTATTTTGAATACAACCTTATTTTCATAGAGTTTCTGCTAAAAAATGTTTAGCTATATTTTTCTTTTCTATAAATTCATTTTATTGTAGAGTTTTAGGAAATGAAAAATCATAAGAATACTATTTTCTTCATGATATTTCTTAAAAGGTTTGTTATCAAATTCCTCACCATAATCACTTCTTGAAACTCATGTATTCAGATCCCAGATGTCATAAGAGATGTCGAAACACTGATCTCTGAATAACAATATAATGACAAGGTGTAATAAGTAAACAGTGCAAAAAAATAAAGGATCACACAAAATTGTTAACTTAGTTCGGTGTACAACAACACCTACTCTGAAGACTACCAAGCCAAGGAAAAATCAACTAGATAGTATCAATTTATAGACCCACAACAAACTCTCACTAATTTATAATCTACTCACTAAATCACTACCC